GAAAGATGGCATGTGCTAAGACTGGTGGGGCAAGGCGGAGCTGACACTCTGCCATTTGGCACTCCTTTGCTGAAGGAGCAATACAGAAATCAGAGCCAAAAGGACAAAAAAATTCTCTAGGGCTAGAAGCAAAGATGATGACACACGTCTGCTTACCTTCCAATAGAACAGAGAGTAAAATGATGTGGAAATTAAACAATGTAAATTGTGGCATGCTTTTCTTCCTTTGAAAGCTAGGTGATCAGATGCTATAATGCAGACTGTCTGCAGAAACCAAATGCTGGGAACCAGTAACCCCATTGGCTTGGTTTATAAACCCCAGCTGTCCAGCCTGGATCATCAGTCCTCAAGCACTGGTTGGTTCAGTGGACCTTCCCAGGAGATGATCTGTCTTATCTCAGCTGTCTCACCTGCTCCTCCTGCAGTGTTATTCCCAGTGCAGCATCGCTCTCTAGTTAGTCTGGACTGCTTCCCACAAAGCAGCGCATACACTGCCTTTAATAACCAGCTGGCAAAAAAAAAAAAAACTTAATCCATCATGAATGGCAGACCCCAACACCTCTACTGCCAACTGGGGATCTACATGTCAAGCGTTCTCCTACTCTACTGTCCCCGCTGGGGAAGGAAAGCAGAGTCTAATTCTGTCCCGAAAAGTTGTCTCTTCCAACGTCAGTCTTCTGTTTATCTCCTCGCACAAGACAGAGCTGGAAGAGGGCAGCTTGTAGTTTGGTTGCAAATGAACCTGAAAGGACATTCAGAATGGCCACTGGAAAGCCTGCGTGTGGACAGGATGCCTCTTTGGCATGACTGAAAAGCTCTGCATGCCGGATACACACTCAAGAATGGTGCACACGATTTTATTAAGAACTTTATAATGATATAGATTGGTCACTTAAACATTACAACTACCCATAGAAAAGTGTTGCCTGTATCTTTTAAACACCATGTAAATAAAACAAATTTCTTCTTAAAACAGGATAAACTGTTATAAAAATGGTGCACAGTCAAGTCATACAAAAATACAAAATTTGTTTCCAACTGCAGTCCTAGTTGCAATTGCAGAGAAAAGCCCCCACCCAGGACTTCCAGTGAGCAGAGAACACAAACTTGTGGAACAGGTCATGGCAGAAATTTGTTGTCAAAAGGTGCAGAATCCAAGGCTTCCATCAAAGCACCTCTAATAACTTCCAGACAAGATGAAAATTAATTTATCTGGAAGCAACTGCATACGTGATAAGTCTCTTAGCCTTGGAATCGAGTTTCTAGCATTCATATGAGCCAGTTTTAAAATTTCTGTTGCTAAACCCCACTGATCTACACAAATGTCGGTGTTCAGTGCCACTGCTGTCTTAGCCACTGGTACAGCAGGTTTCCACGGGTCAAGCAGGAATCCCTCCTCTCCAAAAAATTAAGGCTGCTCCAGTGCTTCTTCTAGATAGCCCGACCTCGAACATGCACTGAGAGGCCCCGCCAGTGCTCCCATTTGAATGCCTAGGTTGAAGCTCTAGTCCAGTTAGCACTTACACAGACATGTAACTTACAACTTCCATACTTAAGAGAGCCCTCCTGAAGTCAGCGGAGCTACTGATATGGTTCACTTGAACAAGTGTCTAAGTGCTTGCAGGACTGGGTAATTCCATCTCCCTGCCTCCCCAGCAGCTATATTTTCTAAGTATATTTTCATTTTCATATGTTTCATACAGTTTGGGTTCTGTGATATGAAAAGAGTAAATCCTTTTAACTGACTTACAGAAAGAAAACTAAGCAAATTTTTAAGTTTTCAAATGACTTCTAGAAGCAAAAGTGAAATATTTCACTATTGCCAAAAGGCAAGAGCACTGGTTAGCTACATGATACTATGTATTTTTTAAACTTTCGACAGCAATTTAAAAGCCTGATCCTCTGAAAGGAAGCACAGAAAACTGCTTACTTATTAAACCTTAATAACATGAGCTGTGCATGTCTCTACCTAGACATAACCCTCCACTCCATCACAAAGTTTCTGTAGAAGGGCTTTTCTCTTTCAAAAGATTTTCTTGAATGGAGTGATCGAAACATTGAGGCATTATTTATTTGTACAGAGCTTATATTTAGTGCAATAAGTTTAAAAATTCTGCTCTGAAGTATTAACTTTACATTAACAAAAATAATTTTCTTAAAAAAATTGTAACAAAAGGAGTATATAGCATAGACAGATCATGAATTCTTAGCAAATACAATTCTAAGCATTTACCATTACAATATGCTGAAGAACAGAGTATTAGCATTCATATCTGGTGAACTTCCAGACTGAAAAGAAATGTAAATATCTAAGAGTAATAATAAAAAAGCACGTCCTCTTGTTGTTATTTGATAACTTTAGATAACTATCCTGGCAGTTACACTTCCAAAGAAATGTTTCTCTGCCCTTTCCTGTTTTAGCCACCCACTACAGTGCATACAAATATGGATGAAACAACAGGCAAGGAATGGTCCCTTCCACCCCCCAAACCTCTCCAGCATTAAATGAAATGAAGCATACAGTACTTTTTTGTACAGTAGTACAGATCATTTCTCTTCCCATCCTCAGCATCATTACATCTAGTCATGAATTAATCATGAGTAGGCTAAGACTGAGCTTTAACAATCTGTTATTTCAATTGCTCATAGGGAGAATCCATCCATACCCTTCAAAGGAGCACTGCTGAAGTGTGAAGGAGGCTACTGAACTCAAGGGGAGGATAGCGGGCAACGGGAAAGAGGGGCAAGTAGGGTAAAACAGGAAGTTAATTGCATATAAAAATTTTCTGTCCCCATTTTCTTGTTTCTGTTTAATAGGAGATGCAAGGGCTCCCACACACCTGAATACCTGAGGAGTTGGTTATTGTGATTTCTGATACTGATAAACAAAACTGTGCCCCACCAGGGCTGTAAAGTAAAATGACGGCTTACAAACCCATTCAAACTGAATGAACTCTCACTGAAACCACCTTTTGAAAAAATAAATTTGAGACTTTTCTTGATTTGAAGGTTTTCCTTACGTGTAACTGTCCTGAATTTAATGCAAATCTAAACAAACTAAACAAATAAAACTCTCAGCAGATTAGCGGTGTCATGGGAAATCTGTTTCTAAACCCAGTCATCATTTCGGACTATCTTTACAATGATACCTCCCTCCAGATTGTAAAATATCAGGCAGATAAGAATCAACTTTTCCATGACCACAATGAGTAATTTAAAAAATGGAACAATGATAAAGCTGCTTGTAAAAGCCACCCGTATGAAAAGAGTACATGTTTCACAAAAATAATTGTTAAAAAAAGTATTAAATCCCTGTTCCTTTTCTCTGAATTTGTCTGCTTATTTATATATATATATATATGTACGTATATATGTATATATATATACTGTTTTGGAATGTCAATGGGTTCCAATATGGCTGGCTAGTTTCAAGATGAACTTGCTCCAGAGGCCTAGAAAACAAAGTCATACAGCACAGTCTTAGACAAATGCCAAAAGACAAGGAGAAACTGAGTCAAAGGGTCACTGGAAACCATAAAGAAAGAAGTGTGAAAAGGTTGTGGTTTTTTTTCCCTTGTGCCTTGATACAAGAACAGAAGGTCCTAAATGTTTCCTCATCTCCGCTATTAACACCTATTTAAAATACAACTGCACTTGGGGCATTTCATTCTTAGAACTAATTGTCATGTCTAAAAAATATCTGCATTTCAAGGTGACTGAAGCAGAACAGTAAAGACTCTATTTTTCAAAAAAGATGGGAAAAAAAAAGAGAAAAATTTATCTAGTTTTCAAACACACAATTTTGGGACTACAAGTGCTGCTAGTACAGAATTGACTTATGAATGATCCTATTCCAGACATATCTGAGGCATTTATCACTGCTTTGGAGAAAGGTATCAGAAGTTTCACACAGGTAACTGCTGTGTCCTGTCCTTGTCAGGAAGTGAGACCCTAGTATTTCAGAACCTATTCAGCTGGAGCTGAACATCCCAAAACGGAAGACCACTTGAGAAAACAAGGCCCAGTCAGCTCCAAACAAGACTATTGCACGAGCAGCAGAACTGGGAGTAATTCAGCAAGTGACACTCAGGCTGAGCCCCAAGCGCTCAGCATCTTCTCCAGCAGTCCTAGGAGGACCTTCAGCCAGTGCCAGGCTCAAGTGCCTAGAGTCAAGTTCCTAAAAGAACAAGACCACCGTTGACTTGCAACTACTTGGTTTGCCCTTTTACAAGAGGGGATGAATAAAGGTTTCAACATCCAGGCTTTAGGCAGTCAAGTACAGAAGTCTTGAGTAGTGATCTGTGCTAGCACTGACAAGAGCTGAAACCCATTTAAGGTAAACCAGTTGTCTGAATCAGAGGCTAACGTAATACATTTTTGGACTCATTTTTTTTTCTGTGGGTGTGACTAGAGGGTTTGCAAATCCAATTCTCAATCATTTTAATGGCAGCTTTACATTTACAGTGTTTAGACCACTCTGAAAATCCCAACATTAGTGTCTGTTTGAACAGCTAGAATTACTCCCAGAAGAAAACAGTAAATGAGCACAGAATTAGTTTTTTAGATGTATAAACACAGCAGCATTTAGGCATAAGCAAATCTAGAAACTGGTATGCTATAACAAAATAGCAAAACACGCAAAGCTACACATCTATTCATTCTACAGCGGGAACCCATTCCAGCTAGGTCAAAAAGTGCTCATGCAACATGGCTTCACGTACATCATTTAAAAAAAATTCTACCGTTAGCATACACTTATTTAGGTTCCATTAGGTTAAAAAATTGTCCCCATGGTAAGGAACTGCATCAGGCCCCAAATACTCTGAGAAAGTAATGATGGAAAAATATTTTATTTCACAAAGTCATATTGCACGATGACAAGTCGTACCTTGCCCAGCCTGAGTCTCCATCATACGCTCTCAGTTCTCCACCTTCCAAACTCATCCTCCTATCTGTTATCTGTACCATTCTTATTCCAGGCTACTCAGACATGCAATGCCTTCCTAACAGGCACACCATAAGTAAAACAGGCTGCAGAAGCATAAATGATGCATTGTTCACTGTCTGTGTATCTGACAGTGTGAGATGGAAAGAGCACACAAGAGACAAGCAACATAAGTAGTTGGCAATAAAAACAAACAACTGGGAGAAATGTCATTTGAGCAGGTTGAAAGGAATCACTGTATCCAATTGTTTGGCACTGTATGAAATAATTTGGTGAGAGCTTTAAATGCCTGGTCCTACTTTGCAACAATGGATGCGCTCAGTAGCGCTCTTCAGGCTTTTACAGTGAACATAAGATGAACAAGAATTGTTCAGTTCAGGACTGAAAAGAGGATTAAAGTCAAAATAGCCCAATGAATTCCAGAGTCATCTTATTTTGAGAGTACTCAGCAGTTGGGGCTGTCTGTGTATACCACATAGCATGCATACAAACCCTAATGAAATGATACTGCATTTCTTTCATATGACACAGTTCCTTTCATCTTACTTTTACAGGAGATGGTCTCAGCTGTGACAAAAACTCTGCCATCCAGGTGATAGGCAAGCTCACAAACAGAAAAAGCAGAACATCTTGAGTGATACAGAGAACAAAAACTTCTCCTGAAGAAGTGCAGTCAGTAAAGACAAAGAGGGAGAAGAAGTAAAAGTGAAACTCTTGGAGGATCGCCACCTCCTCATCTGCACCTACCATTGGTTTTAGCTCTCTGCTCTCAGCTCCACCTCCCCGGCCAGCTTCTTTCATAGATTTCCTACTATTCTCCACAAACTCCTGAAAAACAGTAATAAAGTGAATAGTGCCTTCTTAGACCAGACTCCGAATATCCAATCTCCATACAAAACTTCAAGATGTTAACTGCACAAAATGCCAAGACAACTTGTTCCTCCCACTTCTCCTGGTCAGACTTGTCCACAAAGTACCAAAAGAGCCTGCCAAATAGCCACAAAGGTGTCCCTCATTTAATTCTGGAAGCCAGACAGGTATTTGCCTTGTGCGGTATTACAACTTTCATATTTACCACACAATGCTCTCCTTTACATGGAAGAAAGGAAGGAAGATGGTTGTTGAAAAAAAAAAAAAAAGAGATCCTAGTTATTACATCCTATGCTGTGAACTGTGTGTAATGTTAGTACTCCATTAAACAGAGGCACTTGGAGATAATTAATTGCAACGTCTTGTTGATTACCCTAACTTCCCTCAATTCAAACTGGTAAATTTTTCACTGCCTCAGAATCACCTACTCACAAAGACTGGCAAAGGTGCCAGTTTCATTTTATCTAGTATTTACTCTTAAAGACAAGCATTCTGTAGCAAATTTGTGTAAATTTCAGCTGCTAGTGTTTTCTGATACTGACTATTAACTAAAGAAACCCACAATGCCTTCACGTTTCATGTACGCTGTCTTCTGAGACAGCATGCTGCATTTTACTCTTATTCTGTGCTCAAAAGCAATTCATCAGCTACCGTTTTATTTACTGCATGCTCTAGATCTGTAGCGTTTTACCAAAAGTTTAATGTTAAATTCTTGGCATGTTTTTCCAACAAGTAATCAGAAAAAAAAATTGTGCTAAGAAGTCGTAAGACTCTTCCTCTAGCCTACACATATGGGTACATTTTGCAGGGACATATTCTACGGTTGCTGCTTAAAAATATTATCAAGAAAATTACCTACTCAACAACAAACTGAATGGCTTGCGGAGCAGAATTTTTACATCTTGGTCTCTAGGTAGAGTGAACAGGGCATAAGACTGGACAAACAAATAAGAACTGAATTGTGCAAAGGGCCTTGACATAGCATCTAGGCTCCAGGACAGAACGTAGTATCTGTTGTTTCTGTGCATGACAGACTGAGAAGCAAATTCTGGTTCCTGTCTATCTGAAAGAAGAAAAACTCCATTGTGGTCACTATCCATGTGTGGGATAGATTGCTCTGCTATTTTTTCTCTTCCATGACCTAAAAAAGGTCCTTCTTAGAAAAGTACAAAACCCTAGCCTTTACCCCTTGTTTCACTCCTTTCCATTCTGCAGTGCATTGTTTGCAAGAAATGATACCCAAAGATATGATTCTGCAGAACAACTGCACATCTCCCAGCCAGCTTATAGAAGGCACTACCAGTGATGTCAAGGGAGGGAAGCATCATTACTTATCTGATGCTCATCAGACCACACTGTTGGCTGATCAAGCCATGAACAAGACAGCAAGGTAATCCAGGTAAAAAATTTACAACATTAAACTCAGCTAGTGAGTTCACTCTGCTCTCAAGATACCCATTTTAGGAAACCACACCCCTCAGAAAGCAAAGGGAAACTTACCATGAGAACTTTGTCCATGTAGAACTCCCTCCCAGGGCTCCCATCATTGTATTTTGTATCGATGGCAAAACATAAGAAAAGGACATCAACAACCATTTCATAAATGGAAAGGAAGCAGTGAGCAACCAGGAATGCAAAGAGGCAGACAATGATGAGTGGTAGCACCCAGATGGTGTAATCTCGTTGGTAATTCAGCAACATAATCCCAGCCAAACCTGTACTGCAGACAATCAGGACCTGGGGAAGAAAACGGAAGACAACTCTTAACGGCATAAGCCTTTTGATTTTTTTGTTTTAGTTTGTTTTTCTTCAACCTATGTGCTCCTTGCTCTGCCAGGCCTAGAACTAGGGGTTACAGATGCTAGCAGTAATGACATCTTTACCTCCTGGATACCCCACATCCCTGAGTGTAAATGACATGGGGAGAGGGCTGGGGGAAGGCAGATGTTGCGGGGATGATGTGTTTTTTATTTTGCTGGCAGAAACAACTTCCGAGCTTGTCTTCTCTCTCTCTGATCTCCGTACAGGGAAAGTAGATCACCATTCATGTGAGACACCTCATGCAACAGTCTCCACAGAACTACACTATGTGTGAGGCCCCAACAGATATTTCACTGGGTACCAGTTTGGTCTTTGGGAATAACAAAAGGACTAAAACAATTGTTGTGGCACTCAACATTTTTAACATTTCTGAATCTATTATTATGAACTGCAGCTAAATACGAAATCGCAAAACAGGTCAGCTTTACTGTGTTATGAAAATACTGGGTTGCACTGATAGAGGAGACATGCTGGCAGCCTAGCACTGTTTTAGCTGATGCTATTTTTTATACGCTGCACTGTTCATTTCAACAGTTCTGTCACCTGTGCACTTCTCTAATAATCTGAAAGTCATCTTTTCAGGGAGATGTTTCCTAACACCTTTCAGACACGTCCATAAAACCACATTATGTAATTTGATGGTCTCCCAAGCACCTGTATCTTCATTATGTGTTTATTTCTTCTCACGTTTTATTGACTTAATCACTGGATTAGAAGTTCAGCCCACTGTGCTCTGACTTAATAAAAGTAGAGGAATGTAATAAGGAAGATGGTTCAGTCTGAGCTGGCAGTTCCTCATAGCAGGCTCCTACACTACCTTCCAGTCCAATTTTCAAATCAATAGTGATCAATAATATGCCAATTTTCAGCATGAACCTGCAGAGCCCTCACTAAACAGAATTTAGAGGAAATGCTTCCTTTCCTTACAATTCTAGGTTTTAACCACAAAACGAATGAAAAACTCAGAACTTCCAATAGTCACTTTTCTCTTGACTCCCTAAATATGAATGCATGCAGAAGGTGTCACCACCTTCAGCTATTCCTTTCTGATCACTTTTACTTAACATAAGTGGGTCATCTGTTTATCCTCCCTATCCTGGACAGTTCCTTCCTGATATGATGCAGCTACATGTAATAAAGTACATGCTAAGAAACAGGAATTTGAAGGCATTTTCTATCTGGACTGCAAGTCATTCCTAAGGAAAGCTTGCTACTACATAGGTCGGTAACAGCTGTACACAGCAGAAGCAGACATACCTTTCCTAGAAACAGAGCCACTCGCAAAGCATTTTCCACTAGAATAACAAAGGCATCCTTTGCTGAGGTGCAGAAGTTGGTGCTGTTGATAGCTGTGGCTGTATATGCGTTCTGGGAAAAGCAGATTGAAGATTTACTCATGGAATGATCAGAGATGTCAGACAGTGGGAGAGGGGGGAGAAGGGGGAGCAGATATGACTTCTGAGTAAGTCACGTAAGTCGCATGATGTTAACGAACAAAGATTCCCTTGAGAGCTGTTGAATCAAGCAGTACGTACCAGCTGACAGAAGACCGTATGAGGTACAGAATTACTATTATTCTCCTCCCTTGCTCATTATTTATGCACTAACAAGTTTATTCCAAAAAACTAATTAAGCAGAATTCGCAATTTCTCTGCAGGAGGAGGCGAGCAGTGGCATAACTACAGCAATTAAGTAGTTAGAAAAAATACTCTGGAAATATAAGAGAGTATAAGAAATATAAGAGAGTTTGAGCATCATACGAGTCCACCAAGATAATTTCTAGACATTTCGCTAGACTGCATTCAAAGTTAGCCAGGACAATTTTCAAGGATTGTACTGGCATTTTTTAAAATGCCTTCTTCCACTTTTAATTCTGTATTTCCACAAGCAAAAAAATGAACAACAGTGAAAGGGATATTAGACAGATATTTAGAGATGTACTTAACAGAGATGGAGCCACAGGCCAATAAAATCTCTTTTACAAAGGGGTCTGACCAGCCAGCACGTTGCAACTTGCAACTCGTTTTCCACTTTGCAGATGATGAAGACAATTTGATGTTAGGTACAGTCTTTCAACTGTGTGAACCCTAAACATTGCAGCTCGAAAAGCTTCGTTCTCTTTTCACAACGGACTTATTTTGAAACTAAGATACAGTTCGATATAGTGGACATAGGGAGGAACATCTCCAACCACTAACCAAATTATTAATCAGTTGAGATACCATGTTCACAAAGATGAATACCAGCTATTTTTCACCTTTACAAGGTAAACAAAGACTAATGTAGTGATTTGCAGTGTAATTTCAGTAATGGAGACAAGACTGCAGTACAGTCACTGAATTTGAGTTCCAAAGTATGATACCATATGTACCAGCCTCAGACTGCACTCTGGGAATCACATACATTATCAGCCCTCACATAAAACTTGAATATAGAAAATCTTACCTGATTTAAGTAGGTCAGGCACTTTTCTAGACACCAAAGGCAGCAGATGCAGGCTTTGAGCATACAGCGAGCACAAGCATTTTCCTGGGAACAGAATGTGGGAAAACAAAGATAAAGAGTAAAACCAACAGATTTTAAGAAAGCAATATTCATTTGTGTTTCAGTACCTGATAACGTGTTTGATAACTCAAGCAGTCCCATGGTCCTTTAAAGACCAAACATTCCAGAAAAAGACTTCCAGGCCCCACACAGACTAAATTAAATTACCTGTAAAACACGTCAGGCATTGAGTTTCAGTAAGAAAATGCAATTTGTTTCTCTTACTTTTCCTTTGAGTTGTGTATGAATATACATAAGAATCATTCGTGGTATCTTCACTAGTGTGATAATGAAAGATCCTTTTGCCACCGTTCCTAGGTGGTAACAAACAAGACGATTAACAGATGCCAGAATAGGAGTAAATGGCAAATTCCTTTTCTCCCTGGTGAAAAAGGAAAAAGAATAAAGTAGAATGAATAATATGTATGTAGTATCATCTGGGAGTACTACAAAGTCTCAATAAACTAACATGCAAAATGAATGTATCATCCTTATACTAGCTTTCAGTGTCTACTGTTCACACAGACAGGCTGTGCAAGTCACAGTTTTGGCTCTAATGCAGTAATAGGATAGGATAAGGAATCAGTATGTCTCAAGGGTAGTCGTTCTAGCAGTTGGCTACATTACCACTATCGCCACCTAGCAGTTTCTATAAAATTACATTTGATGGTGTGCAATTCAAAACGTTCCAAAAAAGTGAGAAACAAATCTAACAAGCTATTTTATTGCAACACAGCTAGAATATTTTTAATCTATCAGATAAACAGTCACTTTCACAGTTTTGACGCAATCACCTCTTAAAGTTTTTATTTATATTTCTTACCAAGAAAGCTACTTCTATTTCTCTTTCAAAGAACAGCTTTATTCAACATTTATGGAGTAGGTCTTCTTCTTTATTAGAAATATGAACATAATACTAAGCATATTAAAGGAACAAGTGGTGACATTCCAAACATAAAATATCTGCTCAGCTTGGGAGAAAGCAATTTCATGTGAGTTGCATTCAAAAACACAAAAAAGCAGAGTCTTCATTCCATGAAACTAAGACCTGCATAACTTAATCCTGAGATATTAATAACTAGAATAGGTTTACCCAGTATTTTCCTCCAATTTATTTTTAGTGCTCAGGTGGGGGAAGCCAAATTCTATTCCCTTTTGGACACTGTCACATAAATGGTCTGAGCCTTACACCCACGCAACCCAACCGCTTCCTCTTCTTGGGGTAAATGTAACTGAGGGCAGAGTCGGTAATGCAAGAACGCCTTGAGGCCTGTTACTGCCTGAGTTGAAAGGAAGCCGTCTGGCTAAGGTGAATGAACAGTGAACATATATAGAACATTGCTCCACAGACAACTTCACCTCATTTGCTGTGGAAAGCTGCTAATTTGCAAAATAATGGGGATGCCCTTTCCTTTCTTACTGACTCACTTTTCATATTAGAATTGTACCTTAAAATGCCGAGAAGGATAACAGTAGGGAGAAATGGGTACTTAATAACTTCAAATAAAATTTCTGTTACGAAATGATAGGCTACAGTTAAAGGAAAAATCATTCACCCTCAGGTGATAGAAAACATATAAACTTACAGATGAAGCATACACGTTGCTAAGTGATCTATTTTAATACAAAGTTATCCTCCCTCCTCTGTATTTTCCTGGTTCGTTACTCAATATAGTTTAATTATTCACAAGATTGCATCCCTGTAACACCTTGTAATAACTTCACAAAGGTATTTCATGGGTATACTGGAGGACTTCATCATTAATAAAATAACACAACTTCTGTCAGCACAGTGAATTAATTCTTTGCCTTTGATATTGTTTTAAAGACTAGGGCAGATATGGAGTCAAATGTAATTCATATGACAGTCTCAATTAAAAAGACAAACTAATTAAACATTTCTGATCTGAATCATGCACTTGATAAATGTCTGCATGCATTATTTGAGAACCCATTTTTTAAAAAATCAGACTCTAAAAAGCATGTGGCAAGAATCGAGTGTGGCTGCTAGATACCATTAGAAATTTTATACACAATATTCTTCATACGAAAGGCTAAAAACACATACCAAAAACCACAGCTGAACTAAATGTGTATTTAGGATGCCTCTTGGGGATAGCATCACTCCAACATCTTGGTTTTCCTTTCTTAAGTAAACCACGATTGCCAAGTATCTTGTCAACATCCTCCACTCATTCTGCTCTTTATTCAGAGGAGTTCTATTTCTATTGTTTGGAAAAGACTTTGACAACATCTGAAATAAAATTACTCTCCTAGTTCTTGAACAATGATGTAGCAATTTTGGGTGTGTTTTTTTCCTGAAGAAATGTATCGTGAACTACCAGAAGCAGGATGACACATGGAGAAGCTTCATCAACTCTACTTTTATAAAACAGATACTAGTGTACTTGCTTCTTTTCCTTACCAAAAATATTGCCATAGTTCTGCTCTACACACCAAAATGTAATACTCCAGACTACTGAAGTGCCATTTATTCTCATGAAATACTAAAAAAGTACCTGATACCATTTTTTTCCTGAAGAACTTGGGTCCTAAATGGCTAAAACCAGAACCTGAATTTTCAGTGACTTAAGGTAAATTTTACACAATTGTAATTTCAGAAAAGTTTTCAAATACTGGAAAATAAAATCCCAAAGTTAAGTTTGTGATTCTGAAATCAGTTTATCCTCTCTGTGAAGCAAAATTCTTGTGCCTGAAGGCTGGTAAAACCACTGCTTAATAATTAGTATTGCCTTCTTTAATGGCTAGCAGATAATGTGCAGAACAGCCACCATAAAGCATGCCCTGATACACACCTTAGTACACAAATATAGGAATGAGACATGGAGCTTTAATGCACACACATTGTGTATCACTTTTTATCTGAATACGATCTGGTCAGAATCTATATGTAAATGATGACTCTAATAACACCTTAAGTAATCACATGCAAGAAAGATTAATGAAGCACTGTAAATAATTTAAAGGGCACTGTTTTGCAATTAAAATAATAATCCTTTGCTTTCAATATTTTCTCTCTACCGAGCGTAACAGCATTAATTATTAGCATTACAGATGATCTTCCAGGTTCATTTTGCTTTGTAAACAATTATCTATGTCTGTACAACAGGCACAGGTCACAAGGCAAACAAGACTTCAAATCCTAAATATCAAGAATAGCATCTAGAATCAGCAAAAGAGATTATTTTAGGACTTTACACGATTTCAGAAAAGTCAATACAATTCAACTGCTCTCCAGCTTTCACGATGGAAGCAAGTATTCTCCCCAAAAGCTGTGCTCTTCATTATTTTTGTTAATCGCATTTCTAGGCTGCTCACAGTAGAGTTGTCTAAGCTGTCCTTACCTTGTAAAATAGTATGTCACAACAGCCCCTGCTACTGTCATCTGCTGACAGGCTAGAATAAATTCACTGATCCAAATCAGTCCCACTACATGGTACCACCACATGTATTTCAGAGGGCCTGCCATCCGAAATTCAACAAATCCTTCTTCATTTGGGACAGGACTACCTAGAAATAAATGAAGGTAAAAAAGGAAATGGTGTTTACATAACTCAGAAAGAAGAAAGCACACGGTATTAGCAGTTCATAACCATCTGCAGCAGAATCCCTCTAGCTTCTACTAACAGTACTAAATGTCAAGTTTTGGAAGACTGTTCAGAGGAAGAATACGGCTTTTGAGACAATCAGTATAACGGCATTAGAAAAAAAGCACCAAAAAAATATTCTGACTGTGCTCAAAATCCTGCAACACTTCTTTTCATTTCATTTCAAGCACTCCCAAGTGCTTTCTGAGCATTTGTTTTCATTTATAGCCACATGGTGTAAAGTTCCAAACCTAACCACCACCAAATAGCAAAAATCCTGACAATTAAACATAATAGATGCCTGCCTTAGTCATTCTTAATTTCAGTCTGCTGCTCTGTTGATATTATTTGTAGAATCAGAATCAGTATTAAACTTCACAGCTCCTTACATCTGGATGTCAACATTAACAATCACTTTTGTTTTCCTTATGGGAAGTCTTTGCGCAAGTATCTCACCAGTATTTGCAGCTTTAAAGGTATTTGCAGACATAAGGAGCAGCTTTAGATATTCTAAACATATAACTTCACACATCCAGAAATCCACTGATCCTTTGTCTCATCTGAATAGTGATCGCATGTGTTGAGACTGACAGTGCATGTCAGAACCCTCCTAGCATAAGCTCTATTTCAATGTGTTAACCCACACGGAGACATTTCATCTTGGAGAACAGTTATGTGAACAGCTCATGAGATTCAGAAAAACACTGAAGGTAACATCACATGTACAAAACGCTTACCTGGAAAACCATTGTTTAGACTTAGCATTGATAGCACCTTCTCCATCTTCATAGCTATGATTTTATGCTTATATAAAAAAATAGTAATTTATTGTGAATAAATTGAACTATTGAATTAATTTTGGTTTTAGTGAACAAGCTCTTTGTAAGTGTAGGCTTCTTCCCAGACACAGATAATGTACACTCCTTCAGTTCTCCTGGTTTGGATTGAAAAGATCTGGCCCTGTTTGCACAGAGATTTTGTTTAACTGATATCACTGAAGATAGTGAGTGCATATAAAGCTAAAAACATAAATTAAGTCTTTGCAGAATCAAGGACAATTGAAGAGTTCTGTCAGAAAAATATGATATCAGCCTAAATTCTGCTACAAATTTAGTCCCTGTGTAGTGGTCTTTAAATCACAGTGAAGCTTGCAACTGAGACTTAACTCACATTCAGAGGTGAACATTTTCTGCATGTAACACAGCATGTAATGAAAACAAAAAATTGCAACAGTAATGAGAACAAGAACACGTGAATTCTATTGCCTCCATCCCTTGCCAAGAACTCAGGCTACGAAATAAAAAATATTTATCTTGTGTTATCCTGAAATGGCTTTGTTACCTGAAACATTGCTACTTTTGGATCAGCAGTAAACAATGTATTTCAAAATTCTAAGCTTTTAATAATGAATGATGGTCTCTACTGTCTACAGCTTACCACAAAATAACACAGACCTTTCCCATTTTAAAAAGCAGTTGTTAGATTTCTTGGCTGAAGTAACTAAGATTTGAAACTACAGGATCAACTAAATCTAGAAGCTCTTGTCAGACCCTGAACACAAACAAAACTCTCACCTTCTATGCACTTCACAGCTGGCAGAAATTGCGAGTACACTGGCTGCTCTCGCATATGGTGCACAAACAGCAGAAAAGTCTCCCTAATAATCCTGGAAAAAGCTGAAATACTACTAGGCACCTAAGTTATGAACAACTAAACACTACTTTGAGTATATTTACATTTGGGAGACAGTAAATGTGTGCAATAGCCCTTTCATTACTATGTCTTCATCTGTGTGAGTACTGGGTACAATACAGTACAATGCCTTGTGAGATCAGCTGTAAGATTAGCTGGTTTTGACCTGTTTATGTAAAATTAGAGGGAATTATTTGCAAAATTGTTATAGCAGTCTTATTAATGGAGTGTTGTGGTTTACAACATGCCAACTTGCATCAAACCAAAAGCTGGCCTAAGCCACAAAGTAACATGCTGGGAATGCAGACTCAAATGCACAACTTTATTGAAACAAGTGTTTTGAAGTCAGTGAAGCAGACAACAACAGAAACCTAATACGTGGGTTTTCTTCTAGAGAGTTCCACACGCTTTTTAACCAACTCTGCCTGAAATCATACAAAAACGAAGTGGAATTTATTTAAAATAAGCCTGGTAGCCGCTTACCTGTAGTACCAAGAAAAAGCAGGACCGTGATCCAGTATGTCCAGAAGAGGATAAGCACAAAGAATGTCCAAAATGGCTGGAAGACTAGCAGTGGCAGGTGAATGAAGACCTTGCCGGCCACGTGGAACAAGGCAATGGTAAGAGCTACTCGTTTGCGCATAATTAACATTATTAAGAACAAGATAACCTAGAGGGAGAAGATCCCAAACCACATTTTAGAGAACTGAAAAATAAGCAAGCTATCATTTTGCACAGCTAGGATATTCAAACACAGCAATTTAACACACACTATACCTATAACATCACAAGATCAAAATGTAAAACCTCTATCAGCTTCTTCTGGTGCTAAATTATTTTCCAAATTATACTTTTGGGGAATTCCAATCTCATAATTATGTATTTGGAATCATCATCAGCCTCAGGCTTATGAGATTAGACCAGATTCTATCCTCAATTATGCCTTTACAAACCAGTGAAATCAGCAAGATTTAACAAAGAATACAATTTAACATCTATATTTGGGCTTGTTGTGGTGGACTTGTCATACATGTTAGTCAAACATTGTCAATTTTTGGTAGTAAGTAACTCAGAAACAAACAGCAAGGCCTAAAGAAGATAAATTGGTTCAGTAATTATTTTTAGTATTCTAGTTCACAATGATCCTTGTGTAAATGGAAGAAGTTTGGGAACAATCGATTTCAGAAGTAGGAATGGTCTAAGGACTTTCAAATAAACTGAAACAATGAAGTACCTCTGAACTGGGAACCTAAGAAAAATCTCGTAAGTGAAACTGAATTGGGAGTCCAATATTGTATTAATTCATGGAAGTCCCTGCGGACATTTTACAGTAGAGGAGAGTAGCTGCAGGGTCTCTCCTGACTCAAAAAATGGGAAAAAAAAAAAAAAAAATCACGCAACAGAACTTGCAATAGAAATAAACTCTTCAAAAACGTGTGCAACAAAAACCTTTCACCTGAATAAAAAAATAGAGACAAACAGGAAGACAAAAGCATACCGTGAAGACTGTAGCTGAAATGGCATAGATCAGAAGAGCCTGAAGATTGTCTTTGGCTATTTGAGTCTCATCAGCACTGGCAGATATTCGTTGCTTAGCATAGAGCCACCACAGAACTCCTGTACCACCTATGTTTTAGACAAAAAAAAAAAAAAGAGGATAACTCAAAGATGCTCCTTCTATGTAACACAGTTATACTACTTAGTACCAAAGAAACAACAGTTTTGAATGCTCAAGGGCACTTACGGCTAACCCAACAGGAACTTCTGAGGATGTAGAAGTGCCCTCTTCTCAAGTGGATATACTCTTTCCTCAGTCTCACCCTGCTATGACCACTTATGGGACTCGCAGCTCTTAGTGTTTTAGGGTTAAGTGCGTGAGAGTCCTAGTTCATGGGGAGCCCTAACAACGAAGATTACATTAGACAGCCAACAGAGTAACAAAAAGAAGAATAAAGAGTTTTATGGTAGGATGTATGTATATATAACATGGTAGGAAGTAAGAATTTAGGAGGGGGACCAGAGAGGGACCATTGTATCAGGATGCAAAATAACAAGAGGAACAAAGAAGGAGTCTACAACTCCTGGGAAGACTAATCAAGAAGAGAAGTAACAGCCCTGACATTGAAAACAGCACCTCAGCTTAATGACACATAGCTAGACCTGCATCAGACAATGTCTTGTGAGCACCGAAAAAACGTCAGTGAAAGGCTCAGGAGGCCAATGCAATATGAGGCACTTTCTTCTAATCCCTGTTATGAAATCCTAGCCTTATGGCCAGAACTTCATTCTCATATTCGAGCTACCCTTCCAAGGCAGAACTTTTCTTAAATACAAGACTCCTGCCCTTCAGGGAGACTTCTGAGTATCTCTTTCAAGCATCCTTCTCTGTTCTGTTGTTATTTCTGAGTCAGCTGCATAAACTTATCTAGAGATCACAAGTCTTTGCTGAAGGTACTCCATTCAGGTCCAAAATGCAGGATGCTCTTATGGCATCTCCTAAACAAACAGTGAATACCGAATAAGCAGTATGCCTCACAAATGACATGCTCTTATTCATTCTGTGGAATGGATGTGATTTTTTAGAACATAATAACATATGGCAATAAGTCATTCAACTCTTTCACTCAACATAGTTGCCCAGCTTCTAAAGAGAATATAAACAGAAAAAAAAAAAAAAATCTATTTTTTCCCTTTTCTGTGGTCAGGGATCCCGTGAACAGTACTGCAAAAAACCAAGTGATCCTGAAAAGACATAGATGGTCTGGTGATTTTTTTCCATCTCTTGTAGTCATGCATTGCAAGAATTAAATTGCTAGTACTTCCTGATTTAATTATTCTATTTTTGCTCCTTCCCTACAGCCATCCGCCCATACATTTTGGCTTTGCTACTAAGTAACAGTAATATAAAACTTTAATTTTACAAATGTAAAAGTTAATATGATAACGCAATACTATCTTCAGGCAAGTGAAACCATTTTGGATGAGACAATGTCTGGCCAGTCCCACGATGGCATGGCTGGTTGCATTTCACACATGACCTAGGCCATGCAGGACTTCCGAGTTGTATGGAAAGACAAGAATTTGATTAGAAACTCTAGAAAAGCACCTCTGGTTCCTCTCCTCAAGAACAGATCTTAGATACACCTACAGAGAACTGCAGGGTTGTATGGACACGTCTATATCCCGAGGGTCCCCTGAGGTTTCACGAACAGTAATTGCCCTTTGACTCCTGCACACCTGGATATGCTCAGCAGGTGGGAATGCCATCGGAAACTCCTAGACTAGCTGTCTTTCTCACACATTTGGAAGGCAGGTCAAGAAGTAGGCAATGTTTGGGGCTGTGCTACGAGTGCTGTGAGGAATATCGCTGTACGGGCTCTAGCGAGACAGACTTGACAGGAAGATTGCCAGCCAAGCAGGGAGTGCAGCAGATCTCTAAGGAGCAACGTACTCTCTGCGAGATGATTGCAATTGCAAAGGTGGCATTTTTGTCATTTGTCTTGCAAGGCACTCAAAGGAAAGCTGAAGGGAAATGCATGGTCCGAGATCTGTGCAGGATATAGCTGGCCTGAGGACATGGAGCACAAAGATTAGAACTGGACATTCAGAAACTGGGAGACAAACAAGACTTACCAAGTGATCCCAGAATGACAAGAATTGTTAAAATCCAGACAAGTACTCTTGAAATGTACCTGATTATAACCATCAAAATCATGGACAACACTGCAAAAGAAGACAAATAAAGTAAGTAGAGGAATTATTTCAAGTAGAAATCGCCTTCCTAATTTTCCCACTGCACTAAGATAACTGCCTCCTAACAGAATTTTTAGACAGAGATTTATTTTCTGAGGCTTATAAACTCACTGCACAGATAGTTACGGAAATTAGGCACCTCTACACCTTCTGCTTTGACACTGTTGATTAAAACAAAGAGAGCATAAATACATTTACATGGCACATTAAGTACAAGACATAATGTGTACATACAGACTGAGATGTATTTAGACAATGACAAAACAGACAGAAAGACATGACAGTACTCTGAGTCTGGTAACATGAGCACACCTCCTGAGGACCAGAGTAGAATCGGCACTTAAACACACTTGTCATACAAGTGCAGATAATGTGACACCTGTGTATTCCAAAATGTGATGCCAGTAGAAAGTAAAAAAATCACTACTTCATTTTCAACGTTCAAAACGAATCTTTAACAAGTTTTGTTCATATAGTTCCACTGCCATTCAGGAACCGCATGTTAAAAAGCCCTCTACAATCTCAGCCAACTAAGATTTAGCGAGTGGTGTGTGTAAGAGCATGCACATACTTTTGCATATACTTAATTGAGTACAGCAGTTACATGAAAACCACTAGAACTTGGCTTTCTGAATCACACAATCTTACCCACTGTTTAAAAATAAATAAATTATCTTTAACTACAAAGGTATGGAAAATATTTTTGAAATTAACTGTATGTAAAACTCGGTACTCAACTTCCCACTCTAAGTCACAGCAGCACTGCTAATCAGCCCCTAGCTTTCAGATACAGAACAGTCTTTCTACCATATTATTGAATACTACAGCTGGCAAGATAGAAGAATAAACAGCTTTCCAGTTATGGTTGAAAAAATACTCAATGGTCTTTTGTGTTTTGTGGGTTTTTTAATGGTATATAGCATCCTCCTTTTGTTTTTTAACCACAAAGGAAGACTGAAAACAAAGGAATTCTTTATCTGGTACAGCTTCGCAGTGTTTCTTTCTGGAGCTTCCTATTTTGGGATTTCAGATGTCAATACTCAGTAGGAGTAAAACAAACTCATTAGAAAAGTAATTTATGTGGGTGAGCAGCATTCCACCTTAATTCACAAGAATTTGTTAAAAGAGCACTTGAGTCCAGTGCAATGCGTCACTCTGTGGGCCAGAGGCATCTCGCAACTGTAAAAATGATTCAGCACCTCTATACTGCTGGGAATTTCTCAGACAAGGCTGAAATTTTCAAAGGCCTGAAACTTTTAACCTTGGGGGAAGGGGAAGAAGGGAGTTACATATAATAGAACAAATGGGCACCTAACATTCTTGTTTTCTCTCTGGAAGTTCTCATACCCCTGCACAAGTATGTTAAATCAAACAAAGTAAATCCCCTACATTTTAGAAGAGTGTGCTGTTGTGCACTTCTCACCCTGTCCTTTTTATTTGGAAAGGGTTTATTTGGACTTGGGTTAACAGAAGATGAATATTAGAAAGGGGAAAGGTAAATATTATAATAAAAATGAGGATAACGGGGATGCTCTTTTAACTACACCAAAACTAATGATGGCTAATCAACTGCCACACATCCTCTATATCTCATAATCAGTGGAAGAAGAGAAAAAAACACGAGTGCATATGTATATTGCTTCTGAATAAGTTAGCCAGCTGTCAAGTAACATTTAAAAAAAGCATTCTGAATGATTTTCTAAGGGCTCATTGCTATCATACATTTTTTTGCTCATATTGTGGTTAGAGGGTGTTAACAATCTCCTAATGCAGTACTAAGAAATAGCTAGTAATGAGAAAAACAATTACCTAGTGATAACAAGCAAAGTCCCATTATAATCTCTTTGCTGGTCATAACTCCACTAATCAGCCTGTGTAAGACACTACTGTCACTGACAAAGGTGATCAGGGCCTCTGCAAACTTGGCATAGCAGGAAATGTTCACAGGAGCACAGCGATGGAAGAATGGAATAGGTGCACTGGTGACACAAGAAAAAAAAAATCAGAAAAAAAAATTACTCCTACTTCATACAAATGCCACATCAACACACAAATGAAAAGTGAACAGATGCAACCACGCCACCCTCATAACATGATAACCAGAAACCATGTGTTGAATGCACAAGTGCTTGCTGGAATGAGGATGATCATAATGGGAAGTGATGCAGCTCTTACAAATAACTCTGTGAGGCTGGAGTACACAGTCCAATAGGAAATTATTCCCCTCCCACCCCTAATGGCAAAGCTCAGAAAATACATATTCCTATTTCCGCTTAAACGACTCTCATTCAAGTGTCAGGTGGTGAACCAGCAGCTGAAACAATGCCTTTCACTCGTGTTAGAACAGAATACTGGCTTATATTTGCAGCAGAAGAAATCCCAGAATGACAATAGTCCTCCTGCAAGCGAACACGTTATGCTAAAAGACATCAGCACTTACAACTGCTGCCAAGCAAAACCAATATATTTATTCTTAGTTATCCCCATACTAAGCTTCCTCTCTTGATTGAACATTGCAATCACAGTGTTTAGTTTCATTAACTTTGTTAAAATTATGCACTACATTCTTTGCAAAACATGCAAAGATGCCTCTACTGTTTCATTATTCCTGAACTATTTTGGAAACTTCCTCCCCCAAAACAGTGATGCTATGCATTAAACTTTGCAGAACGCTTAGCAGAACCTGTTATCAAGTCCATCAGAAGAAGACAGAAGAGAGCAAAACTTCTCGTTAAAAGTGGGTAATTTTGTTTTCTAAATGCTTCCCATTAAGTAGCTGCCTTTCTTGATCATAAACTATGTCAGATCTCAAAGAGGCCTACAAAATCTTTTGATCAATCTTCCCAATTACACCTCAGACACACGTTCCATGAATTACATGTTCCTTCTTGTAATTGTATCCAGTGAAAGAAATTACTTTCATACCAAGTCAGTTTTTTCTTCTAACCTCAAAATTTGTTTCACCCTCCCCAGTCTTCCTTACTTAGAAGATTTCAGTGGGCTGTAGGAGCAATGCACATAATCTTTTGAAGTTTCCCCATCTCAGCAATGGCCTATAAATCAGCAGTTTTCTGTACTGAATAACTATTTGTTAAGCCCAAGCATTTCTGAAATTCTGTCATTTTAAACACATAGTGAGTAAACCAGCTGCCTTAGGCACATCCTTTCTAGGCACTGTTTTTGGGGGGAAAAGACTGAGATGCTGAAAACCATTAGTGTGTAATTATTCTGTACAGAATTCAGGAGAAATTATGATCACCTGCCGTACCTAGGTAATTAACAGATTCTAGGTTTTTGTATGAAGTGATTGACGATTGTAAATTACATGGTTTTAAACTTACTGTGCTGAGCAGGTAAATGCATTTGAAGATGCTCGTATTGATGGGTCTACTTACGGGTAGTGATGCAGACTGCAGTTAAGTACAGCAAAGTAATTGTGAATTAGTCACAGTTGTTAAAAACCAAACTAAACTCATAATGATGGATGCCGTACTTAAAAGGCAGCCTGTGTACCCTCTCCGCCTTGTACAACTTAGCCTGTTTTGGAATATGCAACATACTGCAGTTCTTTATATGCAGTAATGCTGGGAAATACTGAAATCTGAGAGGTTTATTTAAATGTTTACTAGTCCAACTTTGCTGAAAGCCTAGAGCATTTAGAAGTTGTCAATACAAATAACAGAGCACAAAATTTGAGCTGGGAGTAGGGAAAAACCTGTCATTCCTTTATCCAAATATGAAAATACCCATTTTGAAAAGTGAAGCTAATGGGATTAAAATACTGTTCCAAAATGCATCCCAACAGAGGAAATCATGCTTTTCACATATCAGGGCTTACATTACCCATCTAACGTCCCTTCAGCTACAGCAATTTCACTACACATTTTAGGTTATCTTCATGTGCAATAAATAATTACTAGCTTTGTTGTAATTAGTACAAAAAAAATTAGGTTAGTGGTTCCTATAAGCTTTCTTGAGCAAACAGGACTCCTGAGAATCCACCTTTTGAGATCTGCTACTATTTCAGTGGTTCTGACTGAGTGGGCCAGGTAAGGTGTCCTGTTTAACAAAAACTGCAATAACAGAAGTATTCTCAGTGACCTGTGCTATTTGATATGGCCTCTTGATTATAACTTGGTATATTACATGCCAAAATGGAATTACACCTTTCTGAGAATAACAACATGGCACTTAATCATGAACAAGAGCAAGTCAAGTTCAAGCCAGCAGATGATGCTGTTAAAAATTGTGTTTTTAAAGCAATATTCAAATGAAGTTGAGACTCATTTTGTTCAAGTACTAGCTTTCAGAGGAAAGCTTCTTCCTCTCACTACTGCAGCTGGGCATACCTACCAACCCGTGTGAGGAGACCTTGGTTGGAGTGCCACTGCTATCCGCTCCTTATGAGCTCTACAGAGCAGCCCCTTGGAACTGCTCGCCACAACTGTTTGATAAACCCTGCAGGGAAAAGCTGGATAGGTTTTCATGCAGGGTCCTCTATTCCAAAACTAAACAGCCAAGTCATGCTCCACTGAGGCTAAGACGTGATAGGCACAGTTTCTGGAAGACACAGGTATTGCTGGCTACATTGCTAAACCGCACTGCTGTGCCGAAGTTGGACACAGTGCCTTGAAGCTGGAGGATCACAGTCCATTGAGGGGTGGAGCCTCAGCTGCAGGGCTTCAAGCAGCCTGGTCATCAAACAGAAAACATCAAGGGACAGTCTTCACAGGAGTCAGATGATGGTTCATACCTCTGACAGATGAAATCTGAAAACAGCGGTGTTAGGTAAGCTCTCCCTGAATGCCTCAGCCTACAGGGTGTTGGGTTTTCATTTGTCTGTCGCCACAGGACTCCATTTAACCTCCAAATTACACTAATTCCCTCAAATAATTTAACTATAAAACTCAGAAAAACAGTGGTTTACAGATACAATATTGGCCTTTTTTGCTTTAGGGCATTAAATTCAGACTTTTCAACCTCAGAAAATATTAAAACATATTAGGCATTTTATTAATATCAAATTAAAAGGGGGAAATACTCCCACCTACACAATAGCTTTTAAAAAATAGCTCTTGAGGTAGTTTTTGTGAGGAATTTACATAGTGTCATTAGAGCTCTGACACACCGTTCTATTCTCCTGTTTTCTTATTAAGCTATATTCATTCAGACTGAACGACATGGGAACACACAGTGAGAAAAGTCAATATAATTCTGGCAAAAATTAAGACTGACAAGCCTTTTCAGTATGCAAGCTGGCACTGAAGTTTTCATTTGTTTTTGTATTACAGCTGTAACAGCTGGTTGCCTGCATGGAATATTATTCTGCTGTGGGGAAAAGTAAAAAAAAGTTAATATTCCAGCTGCTACTTCTTGTCACTACAATATATAAAAAAATATTCACTGGAGAGGCTACTATGTAGACAAGAGGGACCTAAAATTGAAGGTTTTTAGAACCGCCACCATTACAACATTTAATAAAACCATAACAGAAAGCTATGCATAGAGCAAGACTGCAGTTAAAACCCACTACTGAATACGTCTGAGAAGCTGAACTTTGAGAAAACACAACCTGATTCTTCTTGAGTGAGTGGAATTACTGACAGCATGGCATGCACAACCGCAAACGGATCGCTTCTTTCCTCAGAAATGCTCATCTCTGCAGCTCCAGCCAGCATAGCCAGCAGAGTTTCTGGAGCTAAAAACTTTCCTCTCCTACTTCACAAAAAATAGTCTAGTAAAATATTTTAAATAATAAAACTCAAATAGTATCTGTTTATAAAACACAGTCCTCTTTTTGGTACTTGACCATCCTCATATTGGTCATTTGGGGACTGAAAGAATAAAAAATGAAGCAATTTGCTGAATGTGACTGGCTGAGATAAGGTGTAAGAAATGAACACTGCAGAGAGCTGCATGTGAATATTTGTCCTCCCAAAGATCCAAAGTGCTCCATGATTGTCTCTGATCTGCACTGCTGACAGGTAGGTGGCTATAGGGTGGCAGGCAGTAAAACAGCTGGTACTAAGCACAGTGTCAGTTACATGAGACAGACGAGAACTTCAAGATACCAGCTCAATACTGTCAGTAACATATGCATGCATAGTTTGGATTCTACATTAAGAGTTCCTTTCAAAATGCCTTTTAAAAACATGTGGCGATGTTACACTAATATATCCACCTGTAAGACAGAATAAATTTGTGCTGCGTATCTTCTAAAGAACTGTCATGAACAAAACAAATCTCTGCTCCCTCAACCCCCAGTGAGACAAGACTTTAATATTACCTCTCCGGAACAGGATATTTAGGACATAACTTGGGGGCCCTTGGGTCTGTAGTATATTCTGATGGCTGTAGTTCATAGCTACACAGAGTGGATCCTGTTGAGAGAAAAAAAAAAAAAAGATTGATGGGGGACAAGAATAAAATCAGACATTCCTATTTTTTGCAAACGGTATTAGAACTGACAGAAGTCCTGATTCTGCAGCTCCTCATGTTATTAACACAAAGTCATGCTACAGTTCGTCCTGTAACGGAACAGTGAATTCAGAGCAACACAGGCTTCAGTGTAACACAATGACACTCTTCATCTAGCTTTGGGTCTTCCCACATCTGTGTATTCGAGTCGAAAAGGCTAAGTCACAATGCAATGTAAAAGAGAAGGACATACAGCACTTTGAAGTCACCGTCCCCTGCTACTCCACCACACTTATTCTTGATCATTTTTAGTGCATAAATATTGCATAAGACCACATTCATTATACAAAGAAAACATTCAAGTGGTTTTTTCAGGGTTTTAACTGGTCTACACACTTCAGGGAGAGGAACAAAGGAACCAAACTGCTGAGGTTAGAAAGCTGGCTGAAAAATTGTACAAGCTCTGACTGCATTAGATGTCCAAAGCTTTTAATGAAGCTGAACTCTCTCTCTAAACAAATTGGTACAGCACAGTAAAGATCAAGTTGCCTACAACCAAATTCAAACATAATTTAAGCTTTCCATAGTACGTGACACTTGCCTAATGGAAGTACATTACCCAGACAGATCTCTTCCCATTTGCCTATAATCAAGATACTAAACACCTGAGCCAATGCTTCTATGAATACAGCAACCATCAAACCAGACTGGAGCAGCATCTCTCAGAAACTGAAGGAAGAAGCAAGAAAGCCTACAATGCTATAAGACGCCTATCTGAAGATGAGTTTCTTCCCAAGCTTGTTTGCTAACAGACAGCTTACTCCCCAGTGCAACTGCTAGTGTTCTTTTTTCCTACATAATAAGCTAAGGACATCTTGATCATTGCTATAAATATTCAATTCTTTCTATTATGAAAGTCTCCTCTCTAGAAGTACTTTGTAGCAGAGAATTCTACAAACTGGATCTGGATAATACATACATACTTTTGCCCATACTAAACCAAGACTTTTGCAAACAGCCTTATCTTGGCCTGCGTGACACCAAACAGACGTATTATTTGTAGAGACTGTAGAATAATAATTGCAGAAATCTTGTTTACCAGTGCCATGTTGCTACCTCTGTGAAGAGACATCTTCTATTTACAGACTGAAAGAGAACACAGAGAGCAGCTGAGCAGGCTATCCCATGCAGTCTCTGGAACACTATTTAACTACCACTTCTACATACATGTTTTTTGGGGGCAGGTCTAAAAAACTAAATGCATCATTGAAGAAAGTTAGATTTCCTGCAAAGAGAAGGTATCAGGTAAAACATCTGAACTCCATTTTCAATTATACTGTTTATATGAATCCTTATCCTTCTACTTGCTTATGTGGAAAACATGACATCAGATAAACAGACAACAGATAAAACTAGTTTTCTTAGATCACAGTTGTAAACATAGTATCTAAAAGCAATTATTATTCTTTTTGGACAATAGGCTCTATACTGCTGCAGATTTTTTTCATCTGGTTTCATAGATATGAAAGCTTCTAAATCAAGTGCATTTACAAAAAACTCCAGAATTTGATGGAGTGGCATCAGTAGAGAGAGTCACATGTTTATCTTAAAAATAGAAGAAAAAAGAAGATTGCGGACATTTACAGTTATTTTCTTTTGCTTTGAATACAGGCTAAAATCTAAGTTATAAAGATGACTAGCGTAAGAAATCCTACAGGAAGAAATGGAGGGGCTGTATATGGACAGCAGTATACGGATTCATGATACAGAATGTTCAGTGCCAGTTTGGTAATTTTGCCATTCAACATTACCAGTGCTGAACCACAGTTTAAGTATCTTATGCAGAGGCCTCCACACCTAAGTAAGTCTAAGTGACATGGCTGATCTGTGGATGCCTATGCTTCCTTGTGGCTTCCAGCAGTTCAGGCAGAAGGCAAAAAGTGCAGGATTTGCTATGGCCAGGGAAAGACTATCTAGGTTATTTGCACAAATGTGTAACTGAAGATCTTCTGTATGTACCACAAATTTCAGCCAAGCAAAACCAAATGCCAGGTCCTGATCTGCAACGCAGGTCACAAGCCATTCAAGTAGGACTAGGGTAACCCAACAAACCCCTGGCTGTGGAGGAAACCAGAGGCACCTTGCAAGGTCCCTGTGGAACCCAGCGGCATGTTCCCTCCTGTCATGCAATGGAGCAGCAGACAACTAGCTGCCACTATCATCTCTTGTTAGGAAACTGTTCTTGGGGCTCCTTTGGATCTCTTCCCTTCAGCGGCCCACCTCACATAGCATGCTTCTTCAGACTGGCAGCCAAGCAGAAAAATATTTTCATGGAGCTTGTCAGACAAGGGACATTAACCACCCTGCATCTATACAAACTAGCCATCCAGCAGATGAAAAAATGCCCATGAGATTTATTTGTCCTTTTGTCCTACATAATTAGGGAGAATAAATTTGTACTATTCTCCAAAATATTTATTTCTCTGTATTTTGAAAACCTTCCAACTTCTCTAACACCGCATGGGAGAGTTCTATAACCCAAATGTGCGCTTGAGTAATGTACCACTTTACTTAAAACTTCAACTGATTTCTTAACAGAAGAGCCCCTGTGCATCAATACATAAAAGTTTGAATTTTGTAAGGTGAGAGCAGGAGGAATGGACAGCTCTGCCAAACCTTCCACCCCATACTAGTTATTCCAGGTTAGCATAGACTTACAACAGTCAGTCTTATTATTGCTATTTGAGTTTGCAAGGCCTGTAAAAGCTTAAAGAGGAATTCAAATCATCTGCCTTGCTGAGATAATTAGTTTTCCAAAGACACTACTATTATTCCTAAATTATTATCACTCATAAATGATTCAAAAAAATTATGGGTAGAATTCACAGTACAAACTAAAAAAATCATTAAAGTAATACATCCTTTGCTTCCTACAGCAGCGCACATATTTCTCACAGAGAAATCACTAGGCGAACAGTATCAAACTGTCCTACAGGGATTGGATTTGAGATCCGAACACATAACCTTAAAGAAAAATACTTCTAAACTATGCAGAACAACAGGTTGCTGGGCTACTGGTAACCACACAGAGTTTACTGGTCCCAAACTACTGTACCTACAGAGTGGTATGCTGGAGACAGAACACAGCTTCTCTTTCACGGTTTCTTTTCCACGAATGGGCCCCCCCCAGCCATTAGAATATTTTGCAGTCATGACTGGAGCAAAAAAAAACCTTTCCTTTCAATCTTAACCTAGCCGTAGGAGTAAAAGCCACCATTTCTTTAAAAGCCTTCTTTCTGTTTTGGCTACGCTTCGATTAGTAAGGAGCTGAACAGCCATTATCTATGGCATTCTTAAAAACAACTACAATTAGCACAAATTATGTAAAGGTGCTGTAGAAAGCCAGGACAAAGATGGGGGATCATACTCCTATTTCAAAGATTCTATTCAACAGAGAAGGCAAATTATTAAAGCTCTTGTGTGCTCAGAGGACACAGCGCACAAAACAACAAGACATAACCCCTGATTCCCACAGCACTTCCTGCCAAGTGGAAAAAGGCTCAGGCCATTCATGAAAGGAAATATACAGATGCTGACCAGACTTTCTTAATTCTCTATCTACTAGGTCTGATGACTATAATTATACTCTGTCTACAACTATAGGAAATAATTCTACTCAGAATACAAGCACTAAGTACATAAAGTTTAGGCTTGAGTAAGTTTCCTATTTGCCTATGGGTTTTTAGAACAACAAAAACACTCCAGAAGCAAACAAGCTCACATTTGATGCTTCATTTAGGAATGAAGTAGTATTGAGCTGCTCACAGATTAGCAGCAGAGCTGGAAATGAGTGAAAAAACAAGAACTCCACTTCTTGGCCACTGGTTTGAATATGGTCTGAAGTAGCACTTAATGTAGAAGCATCAGAGGACTGCACATTGCAGCCACCCCTTTTGCAAATGGTGCAGGAATAGAGGCAGAATGCTAAACAAGGATGGAACCAAACTGTAACACCTAAACCTAATTTATGGGACTTAACAAATTCTAGAAAAATAGCGACGCCTTGAGATGAGCAAGCAGGCGTAGGACAGAATACTTTGTGGTCAGGACTTCTCAGATTAGTATGACAGATTTGTTCTCAGTGAAGAAAGCAAGCTTCATTCTCCAGATTTATCCACTGGTGCTTTCCAGAAGCACAGAGAGTGTTTTAAAGGAAAGAAACTAAGGATTGTATATATCTGAACTTCAAGTTGTTGCAGAGACCACTGCTTCTTTAAAAGAGTGAGAATTAGAGGGTAGGAGAAATTACAGCCTGCTTTTAGCGCCTGCAAGAATGTTCTGGGAAAAGTCCAACACATAAAACCTGCTACTTAGATCTTTAAATGTCTCCAGAATTTAAGACCACAAAGAGAACTCCTGAGATAGCTAAGCACGGTTACTGTTCTAACTAACTGTACATAAAAATGGAAAAACTTAAAAAATTTTACATCTTAGAGTCAGAACTCATATACATGCATTTTCAGTTGTAATTAAAATGTCCATACTATCCTCTTCTCTATCTTCCCACTCTTATCAACAATACAGAAAGTTGAAAATAAATATTAGTTTATTCATTCCTCCACTCATATTTCTTCCAGTGCTAAACAAAATCAGCTATTCTGGTATCACATTAAAAATCCATCTAGTCCAGTAGCAGATGTTTCCCCTACTGCATCTTTAGCTCTCCACCACTTACAGCTCAACAACATCCTTGAGTACTAACCTATTAAATATCCAAACACGATTACTCTAACAGTTTATCCTTTGGTATTTAAAATATCCTCACAGCAGTAAGTTTTGTAAATTAACTGTAACTTGTACAGAAAAAAAAACTGGCCCTTTGATGCCTAGTAATTTCTTTTTCGACCTCTAGTTTCATACTACTCAAGTTATGAGATCGAGGAACACAGTTTTTTTAACCTTC